AATCTATACCAGTATTGTGCATGCTTTTAAGCTTTATGGAAGTGGCATCATAACTGTATATAACCATCTGCAACCTGCTTTTTATTTTTATTATTATTTTTTTGAGATGAAGTCTTAGCTCTGTCTCCAGGCTGGAGTGCAGTGGCGTGATCTCAGCTCCTCTCGAGCTCCACCTCCGAGGTTTCAAGCGATTCTCCTCCCTCAGGCTCCTGAGTAGCTGGAACTACAGCCAATATTTCCTTGGCTGTGTGCTCGAGTACACATACTCACATATGTACATACAAACATTTATATACACGAAGATAGATGGTTATGCCCATTTTCTTATCAAATACATTTTTGATAAATTTTAGTTTTATTATGTCTGCCTAGCAGAATAACAAATCCCCTAGAAAAGTGCAAGATTAAGCCAAAAGACTGACTCAAGAAGAAATAAAAGTAACCAGACAACCTGTCCCTAAACTTGGTATCTGCATAGTTTGTTAAAATGAAAGGGAGATTTGTAATGGTTGAATTTATTGTTGAAAAGGTGGTGGACAGGATCATATATCAGATTTGGCATCTCGTCTTGACATTTCCTCAGGAATGCCTTTAGTTAATCCTGACACATAATTTTTTTTTTTTTTTTTGAGACGGAGTATCGCTCTTGTTACCCAGGCTGGAGTGCAATGGCATGATCTCAGCTCACCGCAACCTCCACTTCTTGGGTTCAAGCAATTCTCCTGCCTCAGCCTCCTGAGTAGCTGGGATTACAGGCACATACCACCGTGCCGAGCTAAGTTTTTGTATTTTTAGTAGAGACGGGGTTTCATCATGTTGACCAGGATGGTCTCGATCTCTTGATCTCGTGATCCACCTGCCTCGGCCTCCCAAAGTGCTGGGATTACAGGCGTGAGCCACCGTGCCCGGCCCCACATAATTTTATTCAATTAACTACAAATAGTAAATGAGATCATTGTAACACCAAAGCTGTATCTGTCCATTTCTTAATTTGTTCTCTAGAGATCAATATCAAATTTTGCATTCCCAGCAAAGAAAACATAACTATTCACCTAGAATTTAAATTAAACAAATAAATTTAATTCAACAAATACTGAATGCCTAACTATATGCAAGCCACTAATTTAGCATATTAAAAATAGTAAAAATAAGCAACATTTTAAAGCACCTATTATGTGCCAAGTATATGCCCTTTATATGTGTTATTTCTTTTTCAACACAGCTTTATTGATATATACTTCACATATCATACAATTCACCCATTTAAAGCATACAATTCAATGGTTCTCAATATGTTTAAGAGTTGTGCAACCATCACCACTATCAATTTTAGAACATTTTCATCACATAAAACAGAAACTCTGGCAGGGCATAGTGGCTCACGCCTGTAATCCTAGCACTTTGGGAGGCTTAGGCTGGCAGATCACCTGAGGTAAGGAGTTCAAGACCAGCCTGGCCAACATGGTGAAACCTCGTCTCTACAAATATACAAAAATTAGCAGGGCATGATGGCGGATGCCTGTAATCCCAGCTACTTGGGAGGCTGAGGTGGAAGAATCGCTTGAACCCTGTACCTGGGAGGCGGAGGTTGCGGTGAGCTGAGATCATGCCATTTCACTCCAGCCTGGGTGGCAGAGTGAGACTCCATCTTAAAAAAAAAAAAAGAAAAAAAGAAATTTCATAACCACTAGTAGTCATTTCCCATTTCTCCTCCCTTCCCCTATGTCTATTTCACTTTCCAGCCTCAGGCAATCTCTTTTCTACCTACTGTCTCTATACATTTGCATATTCTGAACACATTCTATATTCCTCTATATATGTTATTTATTTATTTTTTGAAACGGAGTTTCGCTCTTGTTACCCAGGCTGGAGTGCAATGGTGCGATCTCGGCTCACCACAACCTCCACCTCCTGGGTTCAAGGAATTCTCCTGCCTCAGCCTCCTGAGTAGCTGGGATTACAGGAATGCGCCACCATGCCCAGCTAATTTTTTGTATTTTTAGTAGAGACGGGGTTTTACCATGTTGACCAGGATGGTCTCGATCTCCTGACCTCGTGATCCACCCGCCTCGGCCTCCCAAAGTGCTGGGATTACAGGCTTGAGCCACCGCGCCCGGCCAGGACTTTTTTTTTCTGTAGTAGTTAGCTTCTCAGTTGGTACTTAGAGAACGTGACAGACATTGTGAGCTGGGGTAATATTCGTTCAGGGTTAGGGAACAAAGGCCTAGAGGCAGGAATGAACAGGTTGTTTCTCAGATCCACTGTGGCTTGAATGTAACATTTTCAATCAGTGTATCACTTCCCATTTAGTAATATTAGCTACAGTTTATTTCTGTGTTTTAATGCCAAGCTCTTGACAGATGTTATTTCTAATCTTTAAGACAACCCTACAGGGTAGATATCATTAGCCTTGATTTTCAGACAAGAAGATTGAGGTTCTTGAGGGGTCATAGGGGCAAGTAAGTGATAGAGCCAAAATTTGAAAAAGTCTTTCTGATGTCACATTTCTGCCCTTTCTACTTTATTGTGCTGCCTCAGGGAGAGGGAAAGTTAGGTTGGTGCCATACTGAGAAAAGCCTTGATGGCTGAGGTGAAAAGTTGTTACTTACCTTGGCAGGTAGAGACATGGTAGAGACAAAACTCAAGCTGAACTCTGGGAATACTACTATAATCATCTGGGCAGTAGAAATGAGAGTCTAGGGCTGGGCACGGTGGCTCACGCCTGTAATCCCAGCAGTTTGGGAGGCCAAGGCGGGCAGATCATGAGGTCAAGAGATCAAGACCATCCTGGCCAACACGGTGAAACCCCAGCTCCACTAAAAATACAAAAATTAGCCAGGCTTGGTGGTAGGCACCTGTAGTCCCAGCTACTCAGGAGGCTGAGGCAGGAAAATAGTTTGAACCAAGGAGGTAGAGGTTGCAGTGAGCTGAGATAACGCCACTGCATTCCAGCCTAGGCGATAGAGCAAGATTTCATCTCAAAAAGAAAAAGAGAAAAGAAATGAGAGTCTAAATTAGTAGTGGTGCAGCTGGACAAAAGGGAAGTCCATATAAGAAATATGCATCAGTGGTATTTAGAGACTTAACGACTGGGTGGAAGCAAGGCGTAGAAAGGGGTATATAATATTTCTGAAACATTGAACCTCTTGTTCGCAGAAGAGTGTTCTGTGATGGCCATTAACAGAAATACAGGGGAAAAGGAGGAGCTGGCTTGGTGGTCTGAGGAGAAGAAAAATGATAAGCTTAATTTGGGAGCTGAATGTGCTGGTGACTTCTCTACGTGGAGACGGGTAATCAACAAAGAATATAAAGAAAAAAAGCAATCTTAGTGTCTGTTAAAAAGTAGGAGAAACAAGGGAGCCATACAGAACACCTATTACTGGCCTAACACTATGGAGATGTCTGGGAAGGGTGACAAACCTTTTCACATTAAGCCTCCAATCTTGTTCCAGAGATTAATTACTCTCATGAAACTATATATAAAACCAGTATAAAATGAGAGACTCAAGGGCCAGTCTGTAGGGTAAACACAAGAGTAATGGGATGTTAGAAAGACATTGATACGTCTGGGGGATTTAGGAGGTGAGAAGACAGATCAACACAAGGTATAAGAAGTAGAAACTGTTCATAGGCTGATACCAGGGCAATACTGCTCCTAGCACAGTGAGAGAACTTTGGTGTCTTCTCTGTTGCCAAAAGGATAGCATGGGGCTGAAAAAGTACAGGCCTGGGGGTAAAGGAGATCCCAAATCTTATATCTCCCTTTTATTGATGGTATAAAATTGGGCAAATTACTTAGCTTTTTCAGTACCTGTTTCTTCGTTTTAAAAAAGTGAGTATATTTAATAAGGTGGTTGTTTACATTCAGTAAAATACCGCCTGAAAAACATCTAACACAGGGCTTTAAACAGCAAGACTGGGCAAAACATAAATAACATTTTCCTTATGTTGTCTTTCTTGCTACCACTTGCACCATATGATTACCCACATTTCCTGTTCCCTCCAGTGCAGCTTCCTGGAGGCATATTTTACAAGTCTGCAGGACTTCTGTGCATCCTATTCAGGCACAGCTATAGGCCCTATAAAGAGGGGCCATTTACTGCCTCTTGCTGTCATTGATATTCGGCAAACATTTATTGAGCACCTACAATGTCCTAATTGCTGAGCTAGGCCATATTGGAGTATAGAGAGATTAAAGAGACCTTAAAGTCCTCAAGGCACTTAAAGATGAGAAACAGTCTCTGGGTAAATAACTATGAGTTCAAAAGGTGGACAGAAGTGATGGGCGGCGAGTTTGTGTGCAGTGAGCACCTAGTGGAAGGTGGCATTATTTGCAGGAGAGAGGTCCTTTAAACCAAGTCTTGACAGATGATAGCATTCACCACGCGGAGACTGGGAAACAAGGACAAAGATATGAGAAGATACGTTGGCCATAGAGGGTCCCTCAAAGCACTGTTATATCAAAGCCAGTATGTAACCAGAGGAAACTGCGTTTTACTTGCCCACGCAAGTCAAGTCTTAAGTCATTAGAGTGCATGCTAAACAGAACTGCAACTCTCGCGAATAAAATGGCCACAGTGACAGCAGTGGGTAACGGCAGAGCTGCAACTACTCTGACTGGGGTGACGATTTACTTGAACGACAATTGGTGAAACATTGTAAACTCTCAGAAGCTGCCGTTTCTAGACTTTGAGTTCCTTCTTGTCAAATCCCCAGCTTGTTTTCTCGGCCCGGAGTGAAGTGCGCAGCCAGCAGGCCCAATGAGCGTCAGAGGGAAGGGGCAGGGGTGGTCTCTTCTGCGGATACACTTTGGCTCCTCCCGAGTCCTACGAGCTTAAACTTCGCCACACTAAACATGGCTTCCTCGCGGTTCCGCTCCCTCTTTTATCGCGCTCCCGCTTTTCGGCCACACTCAACATGGCTCTAACCGAAGGCTGCATTCCTGTGGCACTGTCTCGGGAAAGTTCTCGCGATGCTTGCCTGGGCCCTACTGCTCCCGCCCTGCCTCGCGCGGCCGCTACAGCCACTGCCGCTGGCGCCGCTCCTTCTCCGTGTCAGTTGTTGGGCTGTAATGGCGACTGGGCCGCCCCTGCTGAAGTGACTCCCGGGCGGGGAAGCGGGGCCAAACCTGCGCCAGAGGGAACTGCAGAGAGCCGCAGCTCGGGGGGTGGCTTGCCCTAGGGGAGGGGAGGCAACCTTTCCTCCTGGTCTTCCTTCCCGGCGGACCGGCAGATCCCCGGAGCCGGTGCGAGGCGGGCACCCGGTGCGTCCCCGGAGCGGGGAGGCCAGGCCGGGCAGCCCTGGGGCCGGTCGGGGCGGCGTCACTGCACCCTCCGCCAGGCCCCGCGGGATGCACCGTGGGAGCCGACGGCGGAGGCGACACTCTCAGGTGAGCCGCAGGAGGACCTGGTTGGGACCGTGGAGTCTCGCTCAGCCTCAACTGTCTCTGTCCGCGGTCCCGGGTCCCCGGTGGCGGAGAGAGAGGCGGGGCCGGGCGCGGGGAGTCTTGGCCTTGCTTGGCGTCCCCCTTGGGGAACCTCCCTTGCTTCTGAGGTTTTTCCGGGACCTGGGTTTTGGGTCCCACCAGTGCCTGCTGAAGACGGAATTTCCTTCGTTACCTGCCAGTGTCCTCCCCGCTCGTCCGCCCCTCCTCTAGCCTGCAAAGAGGTAAGATACCTCTCGCCTTTGGTCTCCGGAGAAGTGTCCCTTCTTCATTTGGAGATCAGGCATATTTGGGGAGATTCCGGGGACTGGCTCCAGTGGCAGGGATGATCAATTTCTGTTCCTTTTCGGTGGGGATCACATTCTCAAGTACAGGGAAAACTTTGATCTACTCGAGTCTAGCGGCTACTGAATGTAGTCTACCGGTTTATTCACAGATAATTTAGGAAGAGATTTAACAAGCTTTATGTTTTGGAAGTTGTCAGTATTTTCCTCCGCCTTCTTTTAAATGCAGCTCAACATGCTAAGTAATATTTAGCTAATGTCACAGGATATGAATTGGAATTTGCCTGGATTTATAATTTTCAGATAGGAAGTTGCACATAGGTATAGATTTTAATGTTTTAATGCAATAGCAAATCCTTCATATGGGAAAAAAACAGGTTATCAGAAGTAGTGATTAATATCCATGTACTCCACCTGATTGTTTTGATGGTGATCCTTGTTTTGAATTTGGGGAAGTCGTTATTGTTGCCATGTGAACGATACCTCCTGCCCCGTATTTGAAGAGTTCTTAAGAAAAGACTATCTTTGGCAGAGCTCGTAACAACCTGAAAAGTTCTGTAGAAACTGATAGAATACTAAAAGTTGCCCTCCATTCTAAAAATTTCTTAGTTTAAAAATATTGTTTTTAAACAAGGAAATGCGCTGCTAATGACATGGAATTGTGACTTTTAGGAATTAGCAGTTAGACCCATGCTGAAAGTTGCTTCAAAGCCATGGGCATGAAATTATTAGTTTTGGTGTGCTAAACTGACAAATTCCATTTAATGTAATAAAATAAATCTGAATCATTTGAACTGTGATTGCATCAAATTTAAGATACTGTAATCTGAAAATAAACTTCAAGCTAGAATACTTCGTATATGTGGATAAATACAAGTGTATCTCTGTCTCTTCTGTTCATCCTCACTAGCAGAATTGTATGTATGTAGAGATGGCAAGTTATTTATGTAAAAAGTTTCATACATATGTGAAAGAATTGCTTTGATTTTCTGCGATAAATTGGTGTGTGTGTCATGTAAGAGCGTTAATACTTGAATAACCAACCTGTGGGGCAATTTATGAATTATAAAGTTTCTGAATTTTTTCCTTCTTTTGTCAGTCTTTTGTCCATTTTATAACACTTCTACCATAACATGAGCAGAATAGAGGAGATGAAGTCCCTCTATAATCAATTTTATTTGTTAAATTGCTATAGGTTGTAGTGGGAGTAAAAAAGTCTAAAATAACTGACATCATTTTTTGGTGTGCTTCCATGTACATTATTTTATTTAGTCTTTACCGTGATCTTGTGAAACAGGTATGGCAGATATCATTTTGCAGTTGTGGAAACTGACACAAAATCATTTATGTGAATACCTCTCATTTCTGCAGATAATCTGGAATTTTATTTTTAATGTTAATATAGGTAATCTGACATTTGGTATTATTTTAAAAATTATTCTATTTTTGTTCCTTTTTACATGCCCCTTATGCTGATGATCATCAGTTCTTTAAAAAACATTAGTATTTTTATAATATCTTGTTAATTATTGACAAATCATGAATCATAATGGATCACTTTACTTCTTTATGCATATACTTTTTGCTTGAACAAGATTTTTTTTTCCTGGTTTCAACTTTTTTTTTTTAATTGAATTTAAGGTTTTGGGGTACATGTGAAGAACATGCAGGATAGTTGCATAGGTACACACGTGGCAGTGTGATTTGCTGCCTTCCTCCCCTTCACCTATATCTGGCATTTCTCCCTGTGCTCTCTCTCCCCAACTCCCCACCCTCCGATGTCCCTCCCCTATTCCCCCCAACAGACCCCTGTGTGTGTTGATCCCCTCCCTGTGTCCATGTGTTCTCATTGTTCATCACCCGCCTATGAGTGAGAACATGTGATATTTCATTTTCTATTCTTGTGTCAGTTTGCTGAGAATGATGTTCTCCAGGTTCATCCATGTCCCTACAAAGGACACGAACTCATCGTTTTTGATGGTTGCATAATATTCCATGGTGTATATGTGCCACATTTTCCCTGTCCAGTCTTTCATTTGGGTTGGTGCCTGGTCTTTGGCTATTGTAAACAGTGCTGCAATGAACATTCGTGTGCATATGTCCTTATAGTAGAACGATTTATAGTCCTTTGGATATATACCCAGTAATGGGATTGCTGGGTCAAATGGAATTTCTATTTCTAGGTCCTTGAGGAATCACCACCCTGTCTTCCACAATGGTTGAACTAATTTGCATTCCTACCAGCAGTGTAAAAGTGTTCCTATTTCTCCACATCCTCTCCAGCATCTGTTGTCTCCAGATTTTTTAACAATCGCCATTCTAACTGGCGTGAGATGGTATCTCAGTGTAGTTTTGATTTGCATTTCTCTAATGACAAGTGATGATGAGCATTTTTTTATATGATTGTTGGCCTCATGTATGTCTTCTTTTGTAAAATGTCTGTTCATGTCCTTTGCCCACTTTTGAATGGGCTTGTTTGTTTTTTCTTGTAAATCTGTTTGAGTTCTTTGTAAATTCTGGATATCAGCCCTTTGTCAGGTGGGTAAACTGCAAAAATTTTTTCCCATGATGTTGGTTGCCGATTCACTCTAATGACTTTCTTTTGCCGTGCAGAAGCTGTAGAGTTTGATTAGGTCCCATTTGTCTATTTTGGCTTTTGTTGCCAGTGCTTTTGGTGTTTTGGTCATGAAGTCCTTGCCTACGCCTATGTCCTGAATGATTTTGCCTAGATTTTCTTCTAGGGTTTTTATGGTGCCAGGTCTTATGTTTAAGTCTTTAATCCAAGTGGAGTTAATTTTAGTGTAAGGTGTCAGGAAGGGGTCCAGTTTCTGCTTTCTGCACATGGCTAGCCAGTTTTCCCAATACCATTTATTAAACAGGGAATCCTTTCCCCATTGCTTGTTTTTGTCTGGTTTATCAAAGATCGGATGGTTGTAGATATGTTGTGTTGCCTCCAATGCCTCTGTTCTGTTCCATTGGTCTATATCTCTGTTTTGGTACCAGTACCATGCTGTTTTGATTACTGTAGCCTTGTAGTATAGTTTGAAGTCCAGTAGTGTGATGCCTCCTGCTGTGTTCTTTTTGCTTAGAATTGACTTGGCTATGCGGGCTCTCTTTTGGTTCCATATGAAGTTTAAGGTGGTTTTTTCCAGTTCTGTGAAGAAGGTCATTGGTAGCTTGATGGGGATAGCGTTGAATCTCTAAATTACTCTGGGCAGTATGTCCATTTTCTCGATATTGATTCTTCCTAACCATGAACATGGAATGTTTCTCCATCTGTGTGTGTCCTCTCTTATTTCATTGAGCAGTGGCTTGTGGTTCTCCTTGAAGAGGTCCTTTACATTCCTTGTTAGTTGTATTCCTAGGTATTTTATTCTGCTTGTAGCAATTGTGAATGGCAGGCTTGAACAAGATTTTTAAAGTGTAGTTTATTTATTGTCTTTCACTTCGTTTGGATACTTAGTTCTGTCCTCTTTATTCTTCCAGTCATTTATACTCTTCGTTATATAAAAGAAATATCAAGCCACATGATCAGTAGCATAATTGGAATGTAGTAGCATCTTGATTTTATTGTTGAGACAACTGATGATTTTAAAAGTTAATTCTCTGTGTATAATTGTGATTGTTATTTTTGCAATGTGAGGGAAACTGAAATCATTTTTCTTACTGACTTTTCCCATGTCAAAAAATTTTAGTGTCATAGTTAAAAATAGATGGCATAGTATTTTTTTCTGTATTGATTTTTTTTTTTTGTTCATTGTTACCATAAGTGTAATTTTATATTTACTCGTGGTTATTTTGAGTTATTCTTTCCCTTTCTCATCTGATCAGTAAGTTCCATGATGGCAGAGATCCTTTATTCACTATTATGTACCCAGTGCCTAGCATATGGTAATGAGGAAATTGACTAAAGAGTGGTCCCAGGATAATATTTTAAAAGCAAAACAAAACAAAAAACTAGTTCTTAGTTCCTAGGCACATCTCAACTCTTGGGAATATGTTCCAGAGGTATGCTCAGATTTGCTAGGTAGCAAGGGAATGACAGCCTGGGATTAAAAAGTCACTGAAAATAAGCCACAGTGGAAACTTTATTGACTATTTTAATGATTTGCCTAGGTGCTCTGGCAATTGTTATGGTAATTTAAAGAAAATAGAAACTTTAAGACCCTAACCTGTTATACTAGTATTACAGTATTGTAGTAACTTTGTAATCACAGGCTTGTAATAGCTTTTTTTTTTTTGAGTTGGAGTTTCGCTCTTGTTGCCGGAGATAGAGTGCAATGGCATGATCTCGGCTCACCACAACCTCCACCTCCCAGGTTCAAGAGATTCTCCTGCCACAGCTTTTCAAGTACCTGGGATTACAGGCTTGTGCCACCATGCCTGGCTAGTGTTTTGTATTTTTAGTAGAAATGGGGTTTCACCCTGTTAGCCAGGCTGGTCTCAAACTCCTGACCTCAGGTGATCTGCTTGCCTTGGCTTCCCAATGTGCTGGGATTACAGGCATGAGCTACTAAGTCCAGCCAGGCTTGTGATAACTTTAAGTCACTTCTTAATCACAGCGTTGGGAGTTTAAATTCTTCAAGGCCATCTAGTCCAATTCCCGTATTTTATACGTACGAAAACAGAGGTTGTATAGGGGTGATATCTCACACACAGTTG